TAAATAAATAAATAAATAAATAAATAAAATGAAAAGAGGTTTATTCTGGGGCATCTGGGTGGCTCAGTTGGTTAAGCCTCCGACTTCAACTCGGGTCATGATCTCACAGTTCGTGAGTTCAAGCCCTGAGACAGGCTCTGTGCTGACAGCCTGGAGCCTGGAGCCCACTTCCAGTTCTGTGTCTCTCTCTCTATCTGCCCCTTCACTGATCACACTCTGTCTCTCTCTCTCTCCAAAATAAATAAACATTAAAAAAAATTTTTTTAAAGAAAAGAGGTTTGTTTTGCTCTTCAGAAAATAGATGTTTTCTCTTGTTATCTTGCCTGTGCTATGTAAGATTTGTTGATTCTGGTCTAGGTTAATTTTTTGAGGTATATAGTTTTTATTTTTTATTATTAAGTTTTTTGTTCTAATTCCAGTATAGTTAACATACAGTGTTAGATTAGTTTCAGGTGTACAATATAATAATTCAACAATTCTATACATTACTCTGTGTTCATCATGATAAGTGTACTCTTTAATTCCCATCACCTATTTCACCAATCCTCCCACCCACCTCCCCTCTGCTGACCATCAGTTTGTTCTCTAAGGTTAAGATTCCGTTTTTTACTTTGTCTCTCTCTTTTTTCCCTTTATTTGTTTTCATAAATTCCACACTTGAGTGAAATCGTATAGTATTTGTCCTTCTCTGACTTATTTCACTTAGCATTATACTCTCTAGCTCCGTCCATGTTACTGCAAATGGCAAATTTCATTCTTGTTTATGACTAATATTCCATTGTGTGTGTGTGTGTATATATATACATATACATATATATGTATATATATATATATATATATACATACGTACGTATGTATATATACATACATACATATACCACCCCTTCTTTATCCATTCATCTGTTGGTGGACACTGGGACTGCTGCCATAATTTGGGTATTGTAAAGAATGCTGCAGTAAACATAGGGGTGCATGTGTCCCTTTGAATTAGTGCTTTTATATGTTTTCAGTAACTACCCAGTACTGCGAGTAATGGGTCATACAGTAGTCTTATTTTTACCTTTTTGAGGAACCTCCATACTGTCTTCCACAGTGGCTGCCTCAGTTTGCGTTCCCACCAGTAGTGCATGAAGGTTTCTTTTTCTCTATATCCTTGCCAACATTTGTTGTTTCTTGTGTTTTTTATTTTAGTCATTCTGACAGATGTGAAGTGATATCTCATTGTAGTTCTGATTTACATTTCCCTGATGATGAGTAATGTTGAGCATCTTTTCATGTGTCTGTTGGCCATCTATACGTCTTCTTTGGAGAAATGTCTCTTCATGTCTTCTGCCCATTTAATTGGATTATTTGGTTTTTTGGTGTTGAGTCTTATATGTTCTTTATAGATTTTGGATGCTAACCCTTTATCAGATATGTCATTTGCAAATATCGTTTCCCGTTCAGGAGTTTGTCATTTAGTTTTGTTGATTGTTTCCTTTGCTGTACAGAAGCTTTTCATTTTGATATAGTCCCAATAGTTTATTTTTGCTTTTGTTTCCCTTGCCTTGGGAGATCTATCTAGAAAGATGTTGCTATAGCCAGTGTCAGAGAAATTATTACCTGTACTCTCTTCTAGGATTTTTATGGTTTCGGGTCTTACCTTTAGGTCTTTACTCCATTTTGAGTTTATTTCTGCATATGGTGTAAGAAAGGGGTTCAGTTTCATACTTTTGCATGTAGCTGTACAGTTTTCCCAACACCATTTGTTAAAGACACTGTCTTTTTCTTGTTGCATATTCTTACCTCTTTTGTCAAAGATTAATTGACCACATAGTTGTGGATTTATTTCTGGGTTTTCTATTCTGTTCATTGATTTAGGTGTCTGTATTTGTGCCAGAACCATACTGTTTTGATCACTCCAATTTTGTAATACAACTTGAAGTCTAGAATTGTGTTATCTCCAGTTTTGTTTTTCTTTTTCAAGTTTGCTTTGGCCATTTAGGATCCTTTGTGATTCGATACAAAATTTAGGATTGTTTGTTCTAGTTCTGTGAAAATTGCTGTTGGTGTTTTGATAGGGATTCCATTAAGTCTTGATTTGAGTAGTATAGATATTTTAACAATATTTGTTCTTCCAGCCCATGAACATGAAATGTCTTTCCATTTCTTTGTGTCATCCTGAATTTCATTCATCAGTGTTTGTTTTCAAAGTACAGGTCTTTAATCCTGAGAAACTTAACAGAAACCCATGGAGGAGGGGAAGAAAAAAAAAAAAAAAAGAGGTTAGAGTGGGAGAGAGCCAAAGCATAAGAGACTGTTAAAAACTGAGAACAAACTGAGGTTGATGGGGGTGGGAGGGAGTGAGAGGTGGGTATAGATGAGAGGGAAGTCTTTGGGATGAGCACTGGGTGTTGTATGGAAACCAATTTGACAATAAATTTCATATATTAAAAAAAAAAAAAACAAAGTACAGGTCTTTAACCTCCTTGAATAAACTTATTCCTAGGTATTCTATTGTTTGGGGTATGAGGCATATAGTTAAAAAAATTTTTTTTTTTACTTTTTTTTTAGTGTTGATTTATTTTTGTGAGAGAGAAACAGAGTGCAAGCAGGGGAGGAACAGAGAAGGGGGAGACACAGAATCTGAAGCAGGCTTCAGGCTCTGACCTGTCAGCACAGAACCTGAGCCGAAGTCGGACACCCAACTGACTGAACCACCCAGGTGCCCCTAGGCATATAGTTTTTAAATAAATTATCTTGTTAGCTTTTTTAGATAAATAATATATCAAGTAAATTTTAGATGAAAAGTTAGACAAAGCCAATAAGCATATTAACATTTTACAATGTATCAGTTACTTTTATTGTTTTTATATGATCCCATTTGATTCTGTGAATCATAATAGATATATTCCAATTTATTTATGAGGATACTGACTGCCTAAGTATACAAACTCCATTGATGATGGAGCCAGAATTTGACCCTAGGGCCTTTGACTCTTAACAATTAATGATATAATCATAGTGAGAAAAAGCTCTGAACTGGAGATTAAAAGACTATAATTATATGAATAAATTTTATATATGTATATATGTATAAATAAATCCATCTAAAACAAATTTTCACAAGTTTATGGTTTTCATTAGATATCAAGTATCTCCCCTAGACAGTACTATTAAATACACTGTTCTTTCTCCCCTTTTAAGTAGGTTAACTTCTCATATTGCCTCAACAACATCATTGAACCAATAAATATTTCTTCTTTGGTTATATGATACGGTATCTTTGTTTTCTTAAATGAACTCATTCTTCTTTAGGTGCTTCATGCAGACATCTGTACCCAAGGTTCACTTCTGCAAAATGCTGATGTTATTATAATGAATAACGTCTTCGAATATTTTCTTGATGAGGCAGAACAGGCCAGGTATGTTATTTATTCAAGCAAGAATCTGTTAAACTATATTCAGCAAAGTATGAAAAGGGGTTAGTGGGGCGCTTGGCTGGCTCAGTCAATCAGGCAACTCTTAATGTTGGGGTTATGAGTTCAAGCCCTACACTGGGTGTAGAGATTACTTAAATAAATGCATATTTTTTTAAAAAAATAAAGGGTTGATAAAGTAGAAATACTTTCATATTAAACTATTTTTTAAAACAACCTCAACAAGATTATATTAACAAGGAAATGCATTATGTATAAAATAAAAATAAACTTTGATTGTCTAACTTTGTAGAATATCACATCTAATTTGCAGGGGGGAGGGTATATATAAAATTATATCATGACTCAAGCACCTGCTTAGCAATCACGGATGCAATAAAATATCTATTCCCAGTGGGCGTTTATACTTACTCTTTTCTGTTTTATTTTCTTTGAAAAAACATCTCATGTGCTATTCTATCACAAAATGATGGGAATTAATTTTTGTGAGTATAAAGCAAGATATAAGAATATTCACCAAAATAGCGCTTAATTATCAAACTAAAAATATTTTTAAGGTGGTAATAGTTGGTTCCTAGAGTTATTCCACTCTTCAGGTAATGGAAAAATCAGCAAATCTGTTACCACTTTTTTGACTTCTCTGCCACAGTTTGATGTTTTTTGATCCATCAGGACCAGTAGGTTCCTCTAATTGGAAAATTCCTGTGGTCCATAGTCTGAGACACTGATTTTTCTGGCTAGTTAGGATTGCTGGCTTTTTATTTATCATAATGGCATATGTGTACTCTAGATGCAGGAAAGCTCCTTTCCATATGTATGAAAGGGAATTACACAAATGTTTGGATTAGTGTATCAATAAGGTTTCTACTGCAGAGAAATAAAAAGGCATATAGTTACAGACCATAAATAGTTATTACTAAGTGGACTCTCAAATGGCTAAACCTCTTCATCCTGCCACCCTTTTACCTTTAACCTTCACCCTGCCCCCAACTTTCTCCCTCCCTCCCTCCCTCCCTCCCTCTCTCTCTCTCTTTCACACACACGCACACACACACACACACACACACACACACACACACACACACACAAATACATATATCCAGAGGGTTGATGGGGGGTGGGAGGGAGGGGAAAATGGGTGACGGGCATTGAGGAGGGCACCTGTTGGGATGAGCACTGGGAGCACTGGGTGTTGTATAGAAACCAATTTGACAATAAATTTCATATTAAAAAATATATACATATATCCATACCCATTACTAGTAGGTTAAGGTCACTATGAAATTAACAATTTAAATATTTTAAAAAGAAACTAGTTCAGGGGCGCCTGGGTGGCTCAATGATTAAGCATCCTACTCTTGATTTCAGCTCAGGTTATGATCTCATGGTTCATGGGATCGTCAGGCTCTGTGCCAGTTGTGGAGCCTGCTTGGGATTCTCTCTCTCCCTCTCTATCTGCCCCTCCCCTGCTCACATTCTCCTCTTTCAAAATAAATAAGTAAACATTAAAAAAAGAAAGAAAGAAACTAGTTCAACAGAAAGCTAATCATATAGTCAAAGCTCAGCCACAATGAGTGACAATTTTTGGTCACAGGCTAAAGACCAGAAACACAACACGAGCAAAGTTGTTTTAATAATGGTGCTTTCTTTAAACTTAATTTCCAGTGGACAAAGTATGATTAGCTCTTTACCTTTTTAAGTTAATGACCACTAGCCAAAACATTACATAATTGTTGGAGAATGAAATATTAACCAGGTTTATGTTGTACAAGAAGTTAAAAGAGAAAAACACCTTAAAATTTTTGGAGATTCATTGTAGAAAGATTTAGACTACTGAAGACTGGTGAAAGCTACTGGTGAACTTGATATTGGAAATACTGCTGAATGTTTGGGCTGTTTTAAAAGCTTTCTTGGTACATTCAGTCACAAACTCTCATTGTTCAGTGAATAGGTTTTGGCCACATATGTTGGTTCGGTCATTTCTCCTAAATTAGTCTAGTGCAATGAAGTCTAAAATATATGCAGGTTATAGTCATGAATGACAGTATATAAGATAATGTTTAGAACACATAGTAAAGTATTCTGACATTGGAATCATTCTGAAGAAACTGATCATTTAGCTGTATTAATTCTGTATTGTACTAAGTGAAAAGGAACAGATGGCATTACATATAGCCTCCAAAGACTTGTAGTCTTAATTAGAATCTGGGACAAGTGGGATGATATTGCTATAGGAGTTAGTATATAAGAGAAAACAGAAATATATCATAATAATAGAAAATGTGTACTCAGGAAAGTCTGAGGCTTCAGAATAAGTTAGATCTCATTGCAGGGTAACACCCCAGATTTGTAGAGTAATTGTTAGTTTCAAAGGTGCCTCAATGCATTTTTTTATTAGGTAAAACAGATACAACTCCTACAGTGACAGCTTACCAGTATTTTGAGAGCCATGACCAACCGTGCCAATTTACTCAGCTTCTTCATTCTTATTAAATAAACTTGTAAAATACATCATTTTTAAGGCACCACATCAAAACAATAGCTCTAACCCAAGCACAGGGACTGTTATCAAGCACTGCTACGTGATTTTAGATCTAGCCTAAGAAAAAAGAACATTTGTATCATTTTGCCTAATAAACTCCAGAATACTAAACCTAATAAATTGTTGTAACTAAAATAAATACAAATGACACTGCTGCCCACGTGCCTGTTGCAAGGGATGCCCATCCCTGCTTTGCTGACCATCGCTCCCCAGTAGCGGGGTGCACTGTCGAGATTCGTGTACATGAGAATCCAGTTCATGTCTGCATTAAAGTGAGTCAGAACTGCTCAGGTGTTGCCCTCTGGCACATACATATGTACATGGTATTTTGTCGTGCTTTCAACCAGGCTGGCCCCACTAAACCATATTGTCCAGAAGTCTTTCCATTAAATATTTTTGACAACCAAATAAAGTATGATTTCACTCTTGATGTTATTTTTAAAATGTAATCTACATATTCTGCTTTATTGTTAGCTTTTTCTTGGTTTCTGGCTTCTGTGGCCTTTCTCTACGTCCCTTCTCCCCTCTCTTCCTCTCCCCAGCCCTTTTCCATCCGCAGATCCAGTTTTGACACACTTCATCAAGAGTTTAAGGGGCGTTAACTGCTGATCCACCTTTACCTTGTGTACTGGTCCTGAGAACTGAGTTTTTGGCTTACAGTACCTGGTAGTAACACAAATCCCCATCTTGCTAAATCTCTTCAATACTGAACTGAAAAATTTCCCAATTTCTAATTTGCTGCTATAATCCTGTTTCCTGCAGGCAAACACTTTTGCCCACCTGGATTTCTAGGTATTGCTTATGCTGCATTTTCTCTTGTCATTTTCTTTTTTTTTTTATGTGTTCAGTATCTGGTAAAACCTAAAATACAAGTTTTTAATATGTTGCAGAGCCTGGGAATATATCAGCCATAATGTAAGGAAACAAGGATCCTTATTAGTAACAGTACCAAGCCTTGAAGATTCTCTCTCAAGTCTTCAGGTATGTAAGCCTCTTTCCCAGCATTTTTATTGTCAAAACTTTTCTTCTACTTTTTTCTTTTTTTTTTTTTAAACATTTTTATTTATTTTAGAGAGACAGAGCATGAGCAGGGAAGGGGCAAAGAGAGAGGGAGACACAGAATCCGAAGCAGGCTCCAGGCTCTGAGCTGTCAGCACAGAGCCTAACTCAGGGCTCAGACCCATGAACCATGAAATCGTGACCTGAGCCGAAGTTGTCCGCTTAACCGACTGAGCCACCCAGGTGCCCCTCTTCTACTTTTTTCTGGTAGCTATTACAATATTCTGGAAATGCTTTTTCTGGATATAGTGACATATGATTGAAAGAATGCAGAAGCCTATGGCTTAAGAACTGGTTTGTAGTTTTTTCATTGACCTCAAGAGCTCAGAAATTATAATTCTTATCTTGGTATTGATTCCTTTGCTTCTCCACCTGGTTTTTCCAACGGGGGGGGTTACAGTTTTAGGTTAACAAATGCTCTTAAATGTTTGTAAGAAGCTTAGAACACCCACATCATAACATTTCCCTTAGAACAAAAGGAACAGAGTTGTTCAAGGCTTCTAGAATAAGATATGTAGATTGGAGGTCCATGTACTCTGTGTAGTTTGGAATCTTATGCAGTCCACTTCTTTGTTCCTCAGATTCTCCATATAAAATAAGTCCAGAGCACCTGAGTGGCTCAGTAGGTTGAACATACGACTTTGGCTAAAGTCATGATCTCATCATGGATTTGAGTCCCATGTCTGGCTTTGTGTTGACAGGGTGGAGGCTGCTCTGGATTCTCTGTCTACCTCTCTCTCTGCCCCTCTCCAACAGGCTTTCTCTCTCTTTCTCAAAAATAAACATCTTTTTGAAAAGGACAGATTTTTAAAAATAAATAAGGCCCATACTTACTAAGTTTCAACCCAATAAATTGACCTTTATATAAAGATTCATTAGTATTTATAAAGTTCTTAGAGACCCCCAGATGAAAGATACTGTTGTATTTCTCAATAATGGAGTGCTACAGTTTTTTTTAGTAGCGCTTTCCTTACCTATAAGCATTGCCAAATTTAAGTATCTATTTCTTCCTTAAAAAAAGACTAAACAATCATCAATAATACTGTAAGAACTTTTTGTTAATCATCTAAATTACAAAAGTAATTCATGTTTGCCATAAAAAGGGAAATAATCCTGAGATGTATTAAAAAAAGATGTTAATCTCCCCATTCCCTCCATTTAATTCTTTTCCGGAGAGACCCATCTCATGAGTGGTATGATCCTACCATACTTTTCCATACTTATAAAAATGTGTCTTTTAAATATATGGTCTCCAATTTATTATTTCTATATAGATTTGAAGTAACTTGGTGAGTTTTCACTTAACAAAATAGTAATTTTCACGCTAAATATGTAGATCTGTCTAGATAACCACTGGAAATTATTACTTAAGAATACATAAGTATTCATACATAAATTTATACATAAATTTTTTAATAACTTTATTGCTTTATTGTTTAATGAATCTTCTTTAACCAGATATATTCATTGGTGTCTCTAGAATTTCTGTGCCATGCAGACTCAAGTTTACAATGCAGAGGAAGGTGGGGGGAGCAGGTAAAAGTTATGGGGGGAGAGTAGATTAGCCCCTCTCATGCAGTCCCTTAGCACCATCACTGTGTATGTATGAATAGTTTTTTCTGTTCTCTGTGTATTCTCATTGTTCTAGTGTTTTATTGTTTAAACCTAATAATAATTATTAAACTAGTTACATTAAAACAATTACTCTATTCTGCATTTTCTTTTTTCTTTCAAGTTCCAAAATCATAGTAAATTAAATCCTGAATCCGCAGACCTGCCATGTAGTACAGCAAAGAATTGTTCATATGAGGGGCACCTGGGTGGCTCAGTCAGTTGAGTGTCTGACTCTTGGTTTTGGATCAGGTCATGATCTCATGGTTTCATGAGTTCGAGCCCTGCGTCAGTCTCTGCGCTGGCAGCACAGAGCCTGCTTGGGATTCTCTCTCTCTCCCTCTGTGCCCCTCCCCCACTTGCGCTCTCTGTGTCTCTCTCAAAATAAATAAATAAACTTTAAAAATATTGTTCATATAACACTATGTAAACTTAGTCCTGCTCATTGTAAAAAAAAATCTCTTGTATTCAGTTACTTAGTTCATCATGATTTCTTGAGTTCCAGAGAACAGGATCATTCTGCAGTTTACATGTGTTTTTATAATCTTTCTCTTCCAGATTAATATACAGTTATCTCCCTGGGTTGAAGAGGTACCATTGAACTACGATGTATACCCAGAAAAGCATATTGACAGAGAAGCTCTTGAACAAATTCATTTGTATAAGATTCTGTGACATTAAAATAGTCCTATCTCAGTGTAATGTTTTGTGGTGTATATTACAAATTTATTTTTAAAAATCCCCCCAATACCCTAACATATGTTTCTGTATTTTCCTTTCTAGTCTTTGTGTATATGTTTACATATTTGTAAATAGTTGTATGGGTATATATAAATATACATAGTTGTGTATAGACACATAGTTGTGTCTCTATACAACTTTGATTTCTGTGATAGTTTAATTAA